TTGGGGGGGGGGGGGGGGTTATGAACATCATTAAACAAGTGACAAATTTCAATATAATCATCATTAGATAAAATCATGTTAACAGCAAATTCGGTCAATTTCATGTCCGTCGGTAATGGCGACGACAGATAAAAATGCACATATTCATCAAGATCGATACCAATTGATTGCAGATAAACAAGCATGTTTGCATTAGAACGCATAGTGGCTGGTGGTGCTTTCATATATGTTTCTTTGCGGGCTGTTACAATATGTCGATCACGACCAATTCCTTTTGGAAGAATTCTGAATTGAATTAAATTCTGAATTGCATTTGTAAGTCTAACCATTTTACTCTTGGACTTTCGATAATTTAAGAATAAACTTGTAAATGGAAGACCAGTAGCTTCGTTGCTGAACCAAGCTTTGAGGAGAATCGGCGATGCCATTTTGAGCAATATTGTTTTTTCTTCACAAACATTACTGAGACAAAATATAAGATTTTTATTAATTACATCTGGGAAAAGTTACTGATGAAATCAATATGGAGGGAAGATTGGTAATACATTTCATATGCACAATAAATATAGCCATTCAAGAGTAAACTGTCAAGTTTTTAAAGGCAGCAATATTTACTTCGATCTTTATAACCAGACGTTGAAATTTAAATATGAAATACTTGCATATTCATCACTGTCTGATTTGTGATTTCTCAAACCGATTAATCAACAAAATCTACTCACCGAAAATTCTGTAGCCATTTCGCAAGCTTTTTGTAAATTTGAAGATGATAAATAGAACGACGGCTGATGATAACGGCAAAAACTTGGATCAACTAAAATAAATTTGTTAATAGTCAAGAACTCTACGGAGCAACTAATAGTGTTGGTTCCCAAAATTACCAGAGTTAGACGATTGTTTCTTTCGACAAGGCCCATATGGACAGCCGATTTCAACGGCAGTCATTTCCTCAATTGTTGTATCCAAGACGTTCTTAAAGCTACATACGATCCTTCGTGCTTTCTGATGGCCATCAACAATTACACACTGGCTGCAGTTCAATGCACCACATTTAATTTTCGGAATTGACTTATGACGAGACCAAAATATGGTGAACAAATGATACCACCAACCTGAATAGTTTTCAAAATGATCATTGAGCTCACAACGATTAAGTGAAGCAGGTAAATTCACCGACTGTGTTTTTCCTAACATAAATTCAAAAAGTACAATTTGATATAACATCCAGTGACAGTGAAACAGTTTTGCTAATCGAATAGGTTGAAAAATGATACCATTATTTTGCTTCTCATAATTATATCGGTCGATAAGCGTTCGGGAAAATGCCTTGAACGGACACTGGTAATTTAATAGTTGACATGTATAATCAAAAAGAACTGAATATGTCAGTCCAAAAGAGTCAGATAAATAAAAAACTCTCACTGGACTATTCATGGACGAACTGCTGATTTTCCGCCATCGGCTTCGTAATGAACTCGAAGACGAGTGACCATATAAAAGTGAACATGATTTACATTCCCCGGTCATAGCTACCGCTCGGATAATTTTAAAACAATCAATAATATGAACCGACTTGCAGCGATACAAACTAGGTAATTCATTACAATCAACACAAATGTTAGTGAATGGAAGCAAAATCATATCATTTAAGACATCAACTGTAACATGATTCACATCCACCATAATATTCTTTTCAGCAAAATCAGATACTAACAACACCCGATTAACAAAATCTTTATTCATTGCAATAACATTTGTCACCATTAGAATATCTTCGCTACTATGATTACTATTACAACGACCATTAACTAATTCCTTTATAAGTTGTGTTCGGGCATCAGACGACAAAATCATTGACGAAAGATTTGACAATTTAATATACAAGCGACAGATGTAAATCAGAGAAATTAATCCAACAGAAGAACAAAGTACTTCAAAAATATCTTCACTATCTGACATCTGAAACCAAAGACAACTTACAACAAAGACTTATAATCGGTGCTAAAAACCACCCGCCATATTAATAGACGATCGCTCAATTCTAGGCACCCCTACTACTCATAAAGCTTAAACAATGTCGATGGCTACTTATGTACATTTACCCGTGTGATCAACCTTCCATGGTACTCTAACCCGCTACGATCGCTCTGTGCATGTCTATATCGCGTGAGATTAACCTTCCGTGGCATCACTTTTTTCTGACCAAACGGCTGTTGTAGAAATAAGCTGTTGTAAAGAGCCCCTGTGCGTCTCTATAAGGCGTGGGATCAACCTTTCGTCTCCCCATCAGTTACCGAGATCGCCCTATGTGTGTCCCTACCGCGTTGGATCAACCTTCGATAGCACTATCAGTCCTCTGGATCGCCCCTGAGTGTGTCTGTATCGTTCGTGATTAGTCATTTTATGGTGAAATCGGTCGTTATAAATGCGACAATACCAGCAAACTGAGAGTTACAAATGTCGTTAATCGTTTCTGTCTCATTTTATACTTACCTTTGGTATAACACTGCAGAGGATGATAAAATATTCTATTACAGCTATCAGTTTACTAAGACGTATTTTAAGTGAAATGTATAGAGATGAGAGATGTGTAGCTTTTGATACGCTGGTTTGACTTTAGTTTGATTTTTGAAGTAAGTTCTTCCATTTATATACATAAGTACACGTGAAGAAAATCATTTCATTTCCAGGAAACACATTTTCTTTCTAGGAAACTGGTTTGGTTTCCAGGAAAGTCATTTGCTTTTCTGAGCATTCATTTGCTTTCCCGACAACTCATCCGATTTCCGAAAAAGCCTTTTAATTTCCGAAACTCCTCTGGTTATCTAAAAAGTGAGTCCATAACGTAAATGAATTAAAAACTAATTCAAAATTCATATAAATCTGTGAGAAATCTATAATGTAGTTTCTATTAGATTTTCTAATACTTTTTCCATAAGAATTTCAATAAATATTTATGTCAAAATTTCTCTTACAATTCCTATTACGTGATTTATTACTCTCTACTAGAATCTAGTAGGGTTTACCAGGGTCCACAACTGTCATAAGGGTCTAATTCATTCCGAGACACTCTCACTTCGGTGTTGCGTGTGTGTGCGTACGAGTGTGTCAGGGTTTCGTGGCACCCTCACGTCTGTGTTGCGTGTATGTGTCTCGTTCCATGGTAGAACCTAGTAAACCATTATGCTTTTTTATTTATTTTGAATTATTATGTAATTTTTTTACGTCAACCAGTATAAAACGTCAAAGAGAAAACCATACGATCTATATCATGGGTACCCCAGCCAAAATGGGAAAAACTACACATCCTTCTACATTCTGACAATCAGGTGATCTATCTTGTCTGTCTAACCAACCTCACCCACATCAAGATACTGACCTCTGTGTGCGTCTCTTTGTCTGCATCCTCAATCTAGTGTGTGTGTGTGTGTGTTGCTATTCACACCCTCATCTACGCGAATAACATCAGAATCGAATGACTTTCCCCAAATACTTACCTAGTTTCCAGCAAGTTCATATTGTTTCCGGAAACTACTTTGGTTTCCTGGACAGACATTTGATTTCCCGGAAAGCCATTTGATTTCCCGGAAAGCCATTTGATTTCCCGGAAAGCCATTTGATCCCCTGGAAAGCCATTTGATTTCCGGAAACTCATCTGATTTCCTGGAAAGTCATAAAGAGCATCATATGCATCTAGCTCAGTTCCCACGGACAATACTGCCATGCTTTCCATAGAAACAATACACGCTAAGCACATCATCTGATAGCCCACAGTATCTACCATCAGGATTCAATGTTATTTGGTCCGGTTGAAGGGGTAATGAGGTTTTTACAAAAAGGTTTCTGAAAACCTTGAAAAGCTGGATTTCGAAAAGTTCTACTTTCAGATTAAAAAGCAAATCGAAAACTACTGTGACAATAGAGCAAACATTTCTGATCAGAATGAGATATTTCCCAGCTGTGAACGATGTTCTGCAGACCGTCCGACAGCAGCGGCAACTATAGTCACTCACACTCATTAATCACGTTGTGGATGTGGGCTAATTGCGCTGGTATTGTACGGTTTTAATAAAAAAAGTTACGAAAATAAACTTGCTTGAAATTTTTTTTCTTCATTCGGGCTATATACTAGTATCATCAAGGATCACGAAATAAAAAATTTCCCAACTGTCACTCTCATTCTTTCGGAAAAAATGAGCCTTTCGTTGGAAAGTCCAAAACCACTATCATAGAAAATTTCAAAAGACGATTGAATAAAATGCTTATAACGTTTGAACTAAAGGTGACAGAGACCTGCGATTTTCATCATTCGAAAGAGCGGATCAGGGAACGTATACTTATGGAAAAAGAGAGCTCTCAAATCAGGTTTACCATGGTATACCGTTCGAGG